AAGTGCTTTTCACTCACCTCATAGTTCTAGCCGACCTGTGCCAATGAGACTGTCACAGGTCGGCTCAGTAGATCGGGAGGTGAGCGAACACATACCGGCGTTCGCTCACCTCTCGATCCTGTCACGGCTCTCTGCCGTGACAGGGGAGGGGCTGGATTCCCCCCCTCCCCGCTCCGATCCGCCAGCGCTGACTGGCGGAAAGGACGGGGGAGGGGGCGGGTACAGCTGGCTCTGCCTCTAGATAGGAAGAGCCAGCTGTCAGTTACGCAGCTGGGCGGATCCCGGCACAATTGTCGGGATCCGCTTCAGCTGCGGCGTCTCAGTATAGCGCGAGCAGCAGCTCGCGGTATACTGAGCCTAGGGTGACGGGAGGACGCTAGTTTGTGTCCTCCCGTTACCCTAAGGAGAACTATGGGGAAAAGCCTTAACCCCATAGTTCTCCTTTACCAAAAATAGGATGCCCCTTATTTAGTAGACCCTAGACCAATCCAAAGATCGGAGAATACCAGACACCAGAATACCAGATCTAAGGACACAAGGCCAAAGATCTAAGAACAAAAAGATCTAAGAGGAGTGTTCACAAGGTAGGAACATGGGCCACATGCTGCCTGCTAGGCAAAATCTGTCAATTAATTTGTACTCAATAAAGAGTCATAAACACATGGAACCCTATAAGCAGTAATTGTGGATGGAGTAGATGGTGACATCCAAAGCTCTTGCATTACCATGGGCCACTAAACAGCCACTTCCATAATGTCGCACTCACCTTGTAGTGGAATTTGCAGTACACTGCCTTCCCTTGTGCATTCACCAGCTTGAAGGTATGTGATCCATATCCATTCATGAACCTGAATCCATCCGGAAGGCCGCGGTCGCTGAACAGGAAGGACACCTGATGATGACAACAACAATGACATTTACTACCACGGTCTGGAGATAAATACATGGAAAGGATCCTGTCCTAGGAGAAATATGCTGATTGTCATTGCTGAACTCCTTCTTAAGGGGAATATAGCCATATGAGTGCACTTGCAACAACATAGTTGAGCACTGGCCCTGACACTTTTTTTATTTGCACAAGCAGTTAAATTTGCAGGACAAGCTTTTGGGGGTCTACCCCCTTCTTCTCAGTCCAAGCAGTAACATAACTTGCAACGTACTGACTTATATTTTATCTATCTGGGGTGTAGTGAATGTGAGTGATATAAGGTTAGGTGCACACTGTTCTTGCACTGGTTTTTTTTTTTCATTTCTTTCCAACCATGCAGTGGTGTGCTGTGAACAGAAGGAAGTTCCAGGAACAGATGGTCAGTAACAAGTCAATGCTGCACCTTGAATACCCCTAACTTAAAAAAAAAAAAAAAAAAAAAGGCCATAATAACATACAATAAAAATCAAGAAACCCCCAAAAGGCATAAAAACTCCAAAATACCCACCCTAAAATAAAAGCCCACTTTTTACAGTGAATCCTTGCAGCAACAAAAGGCTCTATATAACATAAAACCCAATGTATCCCCAAAAATGAATGAAAACCCCCAAACAAATACCCTTAAAAGAAACAAATGTTTTTTAAGGGAAGGCTTGCTGCAAACAAATAGAAAATAACCTATTACCACAAGATTAAAAAAAATATACACCCACATAAATGGGAACCCAAAAATACTGTCCCCCTAAAACAAAAGCCCATTTTTTCAAAGGGAAGCCTTGCCGCAAAAATAGTTTTCTATAGATGGGACAGCAACTGTGAAGTGACCACTGACCTTAAATTAACTAGAAATTAAAATTAAGGACATATAAGCCTACAATAATAGTAAGAAAAATATACAGCAAAGGGGTTGATCACCCAAAGAGCTAGCAATCAGAATTCAAGTACAGTTTCCTAAATGACCTGAATCCCGCCTTATAGTGAGGGGAAGGACACATAACTAAGCTCCATTATGGGCCCTTCTAAGCCAGATGAACGAAGTTCAAAGGGCCTTGCAGTGCATTATGGGTACAAAGAATTAAGTCCTGGACTGCGTATCATGAACCCACAGGATCCACTTTGAACACATGGTAGAAACCTCATCCCTACTCCTCACCGTGAATTATATGTCCCCTCCCACATACTGTATTCTTCATAAAGCATTTCCTATTATCTCTTCCCTAGTAAGTACCTTCCTAGCTCCGACATACACATCAATGAATAACATTTTACTCTTTTATGAGATACCTTATACACAGCCTTTATAAGTCTGCTCCTTTTATAAGTCACCTAAGCCAGTCAGGTTATGTATTATTTGTCATTCAAATTTTATTGCCACTTAATTATTTAAAACAAATGTCATTAGGAAACAGACACAGCTATAGCCTAACAGGTGTAAACAAATATCAAAGTGAATTATATCTCGTGGGCAAGGTGTGGATTTTGGTTTCTTGCCACCCGCTAAAGTGCTGACTCATTGAAACTCAAAAAACACTGGTGATAGGGTTGGTGTAATTATTTATTTTAGGCTACGTTCACACTGGCATTGAAACAGGGCCCTTGGCAGGCAGTTCTAAGCTCTGTCAATTGGCGAGATAGATTTGAGATAGATTTGAGATAGATAATTTTTGGGGGGGTTCTCTGAGACCTGAAAACTATTTTAAGGGTTCCTCAATGGTAGAAAGATTAAGAAAAGAAAGAAAAAACCTAGCAGATTACATTGGAAGTCTGGGAACCTTTTATTAAATATGAAAATGCATTACTGACATTCATCAACATGATACAGTATATGTGGTCCATGGCCTGGTTGGCTGTACAGAGATGAAGCCTCGATAAGAGATAGCCAGTACCTCCAACACTGAGAGGCTCTCCACCCCACATATGGTCCAAGTATCACAAGCAATCTTTGAAATGGGATCATCTATAAACCCCATATTACTCTATAAGAAAAGTACAGAACGCGGTTTGGCTTGTGCAATGGATCGGTTTTATCATGCTTCACTCACCTGGTGCAGAGACTCGGGACGGAGGCTCCAGAAGTCCCACACCATATCAGGGTCTTTCAAATTTGTCTGCGGGTTCCTCTTCTGACTGTGAATGAAGGACGGAAACTGCAAAAGAGAGGATCTGATGTTACACACAAACATTCCAGCACTTAAAGGTGAAGTTTAATCAGCTTGTATGGTTTCCTTCCCTGGTTCCTCCCGCCTTCCCTCATCAACATGCATATGAGATTTTAAAATTAAACCTTTGTGTTTTCATGACATACCTTATTTACCCTAGGGGGGCTGCTAGGGTAGATTTTGTCAAATTCCTAGAATTCAGATTTTATTATTCATCTGTTTCTAGCAAACATCTATGCCATCACTAGTAGTAACACATGTGTACAAATCTCTCTGAGTTGGCTGCGCGGGATTACAGGAGCAGGGGGTCATGTGAGGGCTAGTTCACACCAGCCACAGTGCGTTCAGGCCCGATTTGGGCCGGAACGCACTGGATTGCATTGCGGCCGGCTCACTTTGTGTTTGGGTGGGAGGGGGCATGGTGGTGCATTGAACTCGATGGCACCGCAGCTAGACCCTCCAGCTGGCAGGCATTGATGCCAGGCGTTCCCGTGCGGCTGATTGCATTGCGGCTGGAGGGCGTGCCTGTGGTACCATTCACCTCAATGCGCCGCCACGCCCCCTCCCAATCCAAAACTGTCAGGGTACCATGCGCAGGCGTCCTCACACCACATGTAGGTACCCACGCAGGATGACCAAATTAATATGCCCACACAGGATAGGGTTCTATGCACACAGTTTATTTGTACACAGCAAATAACTACAAACCCCATCAACCCCCCACAGGTTTAGCAGTGAAGTAACAAACCCACTGTTGGGACAAACAGACACATACAGCCAGGGGGAACAGCAACAAGGAGGGGTAACAGGCCTGCAGATATACAGCAGGCCTCAGGATACAAGAGTGGTCAGGTACAAGCCGGGTCGTTAACAGGAGGGCAGCGCGGTACAGAAACAGGATTCAAAGGAGAGTGGTCGGGTAACAAGCCGGGTCAGTGACAGGTTTGCAGATAGGAAGCAGGGTTTCAGGACATGGACATCAGTCAGGTGCAGGCGACACAAATACTGAGCCAGCTTGTTGACTGCAGGTAGGGCCTAAATACCCTCCCAGGAAGCACCAGGTGATGGGATGATCAGTCACAGCTGGTGCACACCCACAGGTGAGTACTGGAGCTGCAGGTTCCTTACAGTTCCTGGCTGCTGGAGACACCCGCAGGCGAGCACAGGAACTGCAGGACCTGGCTCCGGCGCCACCTGGGGGTGCTCTGGATCCTGACAAAAACAAAGTGAACCGGGTAACAATCGGGCCACAACGCACTGTGGCTGGTGTGAACTAGCCCTAAAAGCTTTCACATAGATACTAATCTGCATCTACATGTGCGGCGAAAACTCTTTATGAATGTCCCTCATCTTGTCTGGCTGCAGATTGAAATACAAAGACATTTCAAAGTCCTAAAACAACAAAATGTGTGTAGTAATTATATCCGCTGTGTGAATGATTAACACAGGTAGGTTTCTTCTATAGAGTCCTTATCTCTATCAGGCTGGGCAGGGCTGTATTTAGAAATGATACTTCCCTAGGTGTGAGAATGATGCTGACCTTTTGTACATTCTTTGTACACGTCTTTGGCAACCAAGTGCATCACATGACCATTATCACCGAAATTCAAATCAGACTTTTATAAAATGAAGGCAGAAGTCCATTTCATATGCAGAGCAGCCATTTGAATCTACACTCCCCCCCCCCAGTCCAGAGATGGCTGAATCAGTGGCGTCACAAGGGGGGTGAGGCCTGCACCCGGGTGACACCATTGAAGGGGTGACACCAAAATGACTGACAGTTTTGGGACATAGGAGGGGACCCGACGGCATACCTTATCCCGCCGGGTGACAGTCCCCTCCTCGCTCTGCCGGCATCCATCACCAAGATGGCCACCGGCAGGTATCAATAAGATCGCCACACATGCACGATGACGTCATCGTGCAAGCGTGTGGTGACGTCGCGGCGGGGAGTCACCCGGTAACCGCTCCAGGTGACACCGGGCCTCGGGACGCCCCTGGGCTGAATGTTACGTGAAAGTGAACTCCGGTCTTCCCTTCAGTCTTGTACAGTTGTATCGGCTCCTCTCCTGGCCTGAAATTGCTAACTCTGATTTCACTGCACACTGGGAGCTTCTTACAATGTGCATTAGAAGCTGCAGCAAGTCTGACAGTGCCCACCGCATTCCCTGGAAGATGCCCAATGTCATCTAGCGCCTTTGCTCACCAGCTCTGGTCCGCCCCTATTATTCACTGGATTTCAGTTCTGTCATGGAGGCTCAGCATCACATGTTGATGTTCTGTCGAGAACGTCGACCCCCGTCTGATTTGCCGACCTCGGCATCTGCGCTTGCGCAGAGACCAGGATTAACGAGGAAACAGGCACTTATTCACAAAGTATTTTGTTGTAATGCTTACTTGAGACCGTTATTAAAATGCCATTCATGGCAGTAATTGATGGGCAGCATTTTATTCACATTCACAATTAAAATTGTAAGTAATTACATTATTATGTAATTGCTTACAATATGAATTGTGAATATATTATTTCTATTTCAATCCTAATAAAACTGTTAACAGAGATTTATGTTACCATTTGAGCACAGGTCTATTATTGTGTGATAATACAGGTGAAACTCGAATAATTAGAATATCGTGCAAAAGTAATTGCAGTAAGTGCTGCAAAAGGGGCCCAAACCAAGTACTGAGTACATATGCATGCTTGTACTTTTCAGAGGTCCGATATTGTTCTATGTACAATCCTTGTTTTATTGATTGCATGTAATAATCGACTTTTTTGAGGTTGTGGATTTGGGGTTCTTGGGGTTTTCATGAGCTGTAAGCCATAATCATCACAATTATGACAAATCACGGCTTGAATTATCTTGCTTTGCATGTAATGAGTCTATCTCATATATTAGTTTCACCTTTTAAGTTGCATTAGTGAAATAAATGAACTTTGCACGATATTCTAATTATTCGAGTTTCACCTGTATACTTTGTACATGATAGATATGAAGATTATCCAGGATTTACTGACCAGAAAAGGGTCCCTGATGAAGAAAATGGGGGTATTGTTGCCCACTAGGTCCCAAATGCCATCCTCTGTGTAGAACTTCACCGCAAATCCTCGTGGATCACGGACGGTGTCAGCGGAGCCCAATTCACCAGCTGTGGAAAGAAGTACCGTGCAGAGCTATCACCATATAACAGATTATGTGCCCCATCCAGTTGGAAAACATTTGTCAACTTAGCATCATTGGCCTTATTCAATGACAGTGAAAGGAGCAAAGTGCAATAGTAACCAATCAGGATCTACCTATTATTGAATCAGTATAAGATGGATTCTAGTTGGTTGCTAAGGAATGTGCTCACTGCTTCTTGGATTTTTTATGGGACAGGAAGTGAGAGGAAATCTTCCCATGAGGTCACAAACTGCAGACATACTTGACAAAGTTTCTAACTCTTCCCAGTTGTCCAAAAAAAAATAGCAATTGGTAGAGCGCTAGACACAAAGATAGAAAAGATAGGGCTTGAAATCCAAATTTTAGAGGCAGCGCTGTCAACCGGGGTATGCGTGAGGGTCCCCAGAGTAGATTGCAGAGTGTAGAAAGGATTACAGCACCACAGAACTAACATGAGCCAAGTAGGTCAGGCAAGACAAGAGGTGAGAAGATAATGCCAACACGTTTCAGGGGTCTCAAAACTCTCCCATCATCAGGGCTTAGATGCTGACAGTAACTAAAGGGAATACTGGACAACAAATTGCAAAACAAAAGTAGTGCTAATGGTTTTTGACTAACAACCATATCTCCAACCTCGTCTCAAAGTACCACCCCAACTGTCCCCAAGACTTCCTGCTCTCCAGTAACCTTGTCAACTCCTCCCATGCTCACCTCTAGGACTTCTCTACAGTCTCTCCCATTCTTTGGAACTCCTTACCCCAACCTGTCCGTAGATATCCCACTCTGACTGCCTTTAGGCGATCTCTAAAAACTCATCTCTTCAGAGAAGGAAGCCTAATCCACCTCAACCTAACCACTCAACTATCATTTTCTCAAACAGTTCATCCCCACACAGCTACCTCCTCATGTATCACTTCCCCCTCCCTTTTAGATTGTAAGCTCTCACGGGCAGGACACTCCTTACCATCTTGTCTTGATTTGTAGTGTAACTACTAGGATTTGTTTGTTTGCTGCTGTTATGCCTTTTTGCAAATAAAGTACTGGATGGACGGATTCCCTTGCGAGTGCTGTTTTTTAACCTATTCCTTACCATCTTGTCTTGAATTGTATTGTACTTGTCACGTCTTCCTTATATTGTAAAGCGCTGTGCAAACTGTTGGCGCTATATAAATCCTGTATAATAATAATAATATAATAATGGCTAAGATAGTGCTAATTCGGGTTACCAGTCAGGCAGCCTGCTATCGGCAATAAAAACTTAATGGACTTACATTGGTTTGGTGGCACTCTCATCCTTTCTACGCCCTCGAATCCTCTAAAAGAATGTTTTTATTGTACGTGACCGGTATCAGTGGGAGGTTGTCATGTCCACTCACCTACAGTAGAGAATCTCACAGCAATGTCTGTTTTCTTTCCGATTCGGTCAAACACTTTGGCCTTGGTGTATTTCGTAATGTCGTCAGTGACTTCAAAATACCCGAAGGCTCCTGGATTGGAAGAGGACAGAATGAGTCAGTACACAAAACGCTCTGGACTGCACTGAAAAACCGAAACAAAAGCCATTCAATGGTCTGTGCTCTGCTCCGCTGTATAACATTATCAGGCCAAGCCAGCACTATTCATATTATAAGCTGGACTTTATATGATATGATCACCTTGTATGAATACATCAATGGTCCATAGATTGGACTTGGTGTAAAGTTATTCATTTGAAAGTCACTGCAAAGGACAAGAGGGCACTCTTTGCATTTGGAGAAAACTTCACTGAGTTGGAATAGACTCCGTCCAGAACTAGTTCACGTTATTTATTTATTTAAATATCTGGATGCGTTCCTACATGCACAGAATAGAACTGGCTATTAACATTCATACCTAATAACACCAAAGGTGGTTGCTCCAGGGAATATCTGATTGCCTTAGGGGACCAGGAAAGATTTTTTTTCCCCCTGTTATAGCAAATTGGCCCGTGCTTATAAAGGTTTTCTATTGCCATTCTCTGGTATAGGGTCTTCCATATATTTATTCATTAATTTTTTTTCTTAGTTGAACTAGATGGACTTTTTTAACCTGACTAACCCTAAGGCCTCGTTCTCACCAGAGACAGTGCATTCCGGCCCGATTCGATGCAGTGCGTTCTGGCCAGAATCGGGCCAGAACGCACTGTTTTTGGTGTGAACGAAGCCTAACCCTTTCACCTCTTTGCAGCAAAGGATTGTGCACAAACCTTTTTATTTTATTGTATTACCATGTACAACCTAGGTTGGACTTGATGGACTAATGTCTTTATTCAACCTCAAATACTATGTAACTATGTAACCTAAACCCAATGAAGGGCCGGGAAGGCAGGTCATACCACCCTGTTATTAGTCCTAAATAGGTACCTTTAGATTGTATGTTATTTTGATATTTTCACCTTTTGTTTTAGATATTAGGCTATAATCTTTGGGCTAAATAGACTTTCTTTTCATCCTATGTAACTAAAAAAGCTCAATGTTGATATAATGAATTCTTGTTCAAACAATACGACATACTAAACAATAAAAGTAACATGTAGATACAGAGTAAGAAAATGCTCTGACTTGCCCCTAGTTAACCTCAACAGTTGTTCCCTTGCCAATCCCTTATCTCCGTAAACCAGAGAGTAATAACTAAATAACTATGAGCTGAAAGCTGACCTCAGAACATAAAGCAAGTGTGTGTATACGTGTGTGTGTGTAAAACCATAATGTTCATGTATGTAATGCATGTATACAAAAAGTGAAATAAATATAGTCATGGTGTCTGAAAAACCTGTTATGTTGTCTAGAAAAGTGTATAAAGGGAGGTATGTAGCTCCACAGTTTCTTACATATTCATTGGAGGGCTCGGTCACACAAGCCCATCTGCTAAAATGCTCAGCAAATGTCACCCAATCAACTAAATGGAGGAAATTGAGATTTTCTGCACTGGCGATATTTTGCTGGTAGCAATTTCACAGTAAAATGAATTTCACTGAAATCCCGGAGCTCATCCCTAGTTCCCAAAATAGGGATAATTGATTAAAACTCAAAGAAAGAACATTTGCACCATACCGACTCATTGTCCATAGTGACCACTAAGAATTATTTCATGTGTTTTATTTTATTTTACATAAATCGAGTGAAACCCGATTGGTTATTCTTGGCAACAACTAATCAGTCCCAATTTATTCCCATTGCAGCAATATCAGCATAGGATATAAATTGTACTGCTCTATCTATTTATTCTGATTAGGGTTACCTGCTATCTTTCTCATTATATACTCTAGGAAGAGGTTAAACAGCATGACAGAGATATTGCATGGTGCCAGCCTGGACACCACAGGCACAAGGTGGCACAATCGTGTATTGTTCTGCACCTGAGTACACGGCTCACTAGGCATTGTGTACTCTACAGGTGAATGCAGATGTAACAGATTCTCTCTTATCTTACACATGTGGGTTAATTCCCTTCAGTAGACCTGTTCCCACTGAGAACTTCTCATAACCTGAAGTTAATGTGGTTCCTTGAAGTCTAGAGATAAACGCCTTCATATGATCACTGAAGACTGACCTTGTAGATTAGTGGGCTTTGGTTTGGAAATGTCCAAATGTTTCAATAATAGGAATTGGAACTATAACTCTAACTAAAGCACTCATTCTCAACCAGGGTTATGTGGAACCCCAGAGTTCCTCCAAAGGTTGCTAAGGGTTCCTTGAGCTGTAGCTGACTGACATTCCATCTGATAATGTCTGCCTAGTTCTGGGTCCAAAGCCACTTGGCAGAACCAGTCTTATGAAACCAATGATCCTTCTATCTATCTGAAAAGGATGGCATTCTGACCACCACTGTATGTAATAGTGGCATTCCTACCACTGACCGCCAATGTAAGGGGGCATTCTTTCCACCAACACCTAGTAAATTAGTTTTAGAGGGAGCTACCTAAGACCCAAAAATCTTTTTTAGGGTTCCTCTGGGGTGATTGGTTGAGGAAGGCTCATCATGCAACAGGCACTGCTTTGGGTACAGGAGGCTGAACACTACAGCACTACGGCATTGGATTATGTTCATCCAATACCAGGAATTCTGAACAGATAGGATACACAATGGGCTGTCTATGAGCCACCGAAGACGCTCATAAGTTAGAGTTGTTTTAGGATTAAAAAAAAGAATCACAATAAGGGTTAAAAAGTGAGTGTCTCCCCTTCAGTCTTCTACAGTTGTACAGACTTGCTGGGCATCTGAACTATCATTTTTCAATGTCCACCTGTTTCTGGGGTGGGAGGTGCAGTAGGCCCATAGCTATCTGCATTTAACACACATACACATTGTTATAGATCACAAGCATCGTTGTGTATACAGCTTCATGACCACCTTCTCCAATCCAACACATTAGGATAAAAGGGCTCCTCTTAGGGCCCGCAGCACAATATCTCACCTGCACCTTTAGCATGTACCACTCTCTCAGGGATCCTCTCCCGGTCAAAATGCGCCATCTCCTCTGCGAACACCACATCCTGCACCAACAGTGGCCCCCTAGGGCCGGCCGTTAGGATGTTAAGCTTGTCACCCACGGGAACTCCGGCCCCAGTGGTAAGGACGGTAGTAGCCTAGGAAGACACAGGTGACAAAGGGACATTAGGTCAGCTTTTTGAAATCCTCTGATTTAGTCAACATTCAACTCCGAATTCTGATGCTGGAAATATGCGCAAAGATATTATTCTATTTTTTTTTGTACCTGCCGAGATCTGCCCAAGTCCTAAATACTGAAATAAGGTAAAGGAAGTATAAGAGCACAGCCCGCATCCAATCACCAGAAATTCATTTGTACAGCAAGCGGCTAGAGGGAGATTTTGAAAACTAGTTTCCGGTTTGTAATTTTTTGGAAATGTTCACCAAAAGTTACAGAGATCCAGCATAAGGGGAAAAGAAACTGACACGTATATCACCAAAGAGGAAGTATGTGCTGCAATATATGGGTATTCCTGCAATGTACCCCATTCTTTGTAGAAGAAGTGAGCCAATTACAGCAGCAGGAGGATACGAGCTCAAAGCATTGCTGCCATGTGGTTACACCATAGAGATATTTGCAAGGTTTAGAAAAGGGGTAGCCAAACTCCGGCCCTCCAGCTGTGGTGGAACTACAAATCCCATGAGGCATTGCAAGATTCTCACAGCCACAGACCTGACTCCCAGAGAGAGATGCATCATGGGATTTGTAGTTTCACCACAGCTGGAGGGCCGGAGTTTGGCTACCCTTGGTTTAGAAGATCAGAGTCGGCTGTAGAGGGAAATGGAAAGATAATTTTTATTCATATTCGATTATAAAATAAATTGTGTAGCACTCGGGAACACTTAAAGACTCTATTCACATATAAAGCCCACGGATGGCCTTTTTAGTATTGGTGGCTCCTAACCTGGTTCAGTAGCTGCTCATCCGTGGCACCCGTGTGGCTAATGAACAGCTTCTGAAATCTCCTGGAAGTCACAGGTTCCTAGAAAAATATACAAAGCTTATCACTGCTGGGAGACATGTCCGAAGTGCAGAGCACTCTTTAGCTGTTTGTCCTTATAATCCCAATGGTCTGATTGATTAGTGCACATGTGCACGGGTGTAAGTGGCCACAGTCTAAGCCGGTCCCCCGCAAGCATGCTGGAAAGCAGGACCCTTTCTCTTTGTGGGGAAGCAGTGGTCTCTCTGCAGAGGTCCTGCACGCCCCCTGCTGTAGCTCTGAAATCATAAAAGAGAGCACAAGCATTGGGTGTGTCCGAATTCTGCAGAGAGACCACTGATTTCACACTGGGAGCTAGGGTTGCCACCTGTCCAGGATTCACCCGGACAGTCCGGGTTTTGAATGCTGTGTCTGGGTTTCATGGCAGCAGAAACCCGGACACAAGATGTCAGTCAGACGGGGGCAACCAAAATTAAGATAGGGGCTACTGGCCCCCCACTGAAAATAATCTCAACTGTGATATTTACATATGAATAAGCCAAAACTCACTCTCCTAAAAAAATGTCTTGCGGTTTGGTATGTGGGCTTTGGTTAATGTTTTCTACACATGTATAGAGCTGCAGCTAACGATTATTTTCAAAATCGATTAGTTAGCCGATTATTAAGTTCGATTAATCGGTTAATCGGATAAACAATAAAATACATTTTTAAAAATGGCTCCAGTGATGGACTACTAGTTTGTATTGAAATGGGACAATACTGAATAAAATGATATGAAATAAATATCTAAACTAGGGATGCAGTGGCACTGATACCGATACTAGTACCGATACTAGATATCGAGTATTTGGACTAGTACACGTACTCGCCCAAATGCTCTGATACTTACACAGGGGTGTCCCGTGGCTGGGGGGGGCCCGGAGCGG